GTATGTATGTATGTATGTATGTATATATATGCGCATGATGGGTTCACGATCGGACATTATTAATGAATAGGGAATTCGCACAATCATACAGGATCACCTATAGATCTTGAGAGTAGTAGACATAGAAGACAAATTATGTGTTCACACAGTATGATAATATCAGCTGAAGACTTGTATTCAAATACAGGTTTGAGGTTGTACGTGTAGATGTTCCTTTGTCACAGGTCACTATGAAAACAGCCAGTATGAGACTACACGAAATGCGCTGCATGAATGCTAGCGTTGTATATTCAGATTTAGTTCGCTAAAGTGTTCATTGTCGTGTACTCGTTGAGAGGGGTTTACTTGACAAACTCTTCTATGTAGTCAGTTTTAGGTCTGAATATATAGCAAGTGATGAGTATGCAACTTATATCCTGTACGTTGTATATGAAATGGTAAACACCCATGATAATTTGTTTTGATGTGTATTGATAGTAGTGCGAGTTTGCACCGAAATGTTTCAAAGTGTAATGTCTATCTGTATCAATCCCTGTCTATCTTTAAAGGTTATGATTGATGATGCTCAAGCACGGGCGCGTGACAGAGCAAAGGCAGAGGAGAAGGGCAATGGTAATGCCTCGGGTGACTACAGGACTGAGCGCGAGAAAGAACGCGATAAGTATCGGCATAGAGGTTTGTACTTTGCTAAATTTAATATACATACACTTGTAAGTATATATATACATAATATATATATATATATATGTATATGCGCGCGTGTGTGTGTTTGTGTGTGCTCGTGTGTTTTTGTAAACTGTACATGTATATATGCATACATGTATGGTACGGTATCGGTCTATGCAATGTGTGTGCTGAATCAACGACGGACAATACAACCAACGGCTATGCTGCGGGCGCCTAAAGCACTGAGCGAGATAAAGATTGTGTGTACATGCTAAGAAACGCGACTGTGTATATGAATATAACACATGCACATGGCCATGTATATAAGTATGACTGTGCGAATGTATGCACAGCCATAGTAATCCTATGGTTCTTCATACTATTTTCTTTTCTTTTCTGTTTTAGGTGGAGATCGGGACCGGGATGCCAGGGACAGAGACAGGGATAGAGACAGAGACAGGTAGGATACACATTGCACCAACATGTATGCATGTATGTGTGAATGTTTACATATATATTATGTGTGGACGCCA